ACCGAGGTTCATTTTTTCAAGTTCTTAGGGATTTTTATGCGAAATGCCTAATTCATTTGAGTATCTGATACAAAAAGAATGAGGATAAAGGATAAGCTTTGATATGTCATATACAAACGAACGGTAAGTTTCAATATGTCGATAAATCTAATAAACTAAAACCCACGTTTGAGAAGTCGATTATCTATTTTTGGACACATCTTGCTACTATCTCTTTCTTATCTACTAATCCTAATCTCAATAAACTTCTCTTGTCTACTTAGTACAATCTTTTTCTAAAACCAGTTTAGTGGCTTTGTTTATATAAGATTGAAGTATAAATAGATGCGAAATACAATAAAAATTAGTTAATTAAATAAACTCAGATTCTACTATGTCTCGAGATTAGTCGGGATATTAAAAAGACAGTTAATTTCATCCATATGTATATCCTTTCTTTGCGTATTATTTGTTATTTTGAGTTTTATTTCAGATTAGAATAGTACATTTTGAGAGAATTGATTTCACTAACGACAGAATGTAATGTTATCTGAACCTGATGACAAAACATTTACAATATCAACACAATATGATTTTCAAGTTTTTACAATGAATTCCTATAATATTAATTTAGCCATATAAAATCAAATGTATAACTTATTAAATCGTAAATTTGATTGTAGTTATATATTTCGTTCTATAATTATCCTTCATTGATTGATTTTTATTTGTTATTTGGTTAATATTCATTAATTTTGACACAATATATATGTATATATACACCTATAAAAGTTTCAATATTCATATGAAGACAGTCAAATCTCAGTAATCGGAATTAATCTATTGTAAACTAAGTAAGATTCAGACGATATTCAAGATTAAAATATATTACATAATCTATCATCAGTAATTTTGTAAACATAACGATAACTTTTTCAGATATAGAATTATTTGAATCGCTAATGTATGTATCACGATGATGATTCCGAACACCGGAAAATGTAATAAAAACGACCTAATTATTACCAGGAAAAATTGAAAAGCAATATCCTTCATTGAAAAAACTGTCAGTTTTCATTGCGTTCATTTTCTATTTAACCACCATTCTTTATGCATCAGTCATGGAATTGAATGTTCAAGACCTAGTTTCTTTTTTCTTTGTTTCAACTCTGACCTGGAAAAAAACTATATATCAGCTAATATTCTTAACGGATTCGTCAAATGATACTAACCACCCTATTGAATCTAATTTTGAATTATCAACAGAAAAGTTACAAATCGTAACACAAAAAACGAAAGTTTCCAAAACACAATGTAAAACTCTTTTTCGACAATAAGTTCATATAATCCTTTGGCTGTCGACATAAGAGAAGAAAGAAACGATTTTTCAGAAAATTTATTTCTTTTTATGGAACAATCCTATAGCATGTCTTAATAAAATGATGATTTGGGACGCAGATGATGTCTAAGGTTTGTTTTGTATGCAAATACTTTTGAAAAACATACATTAGGAATGGTTACTTTAGTTCTTGCGAAGACGAGACTCTTGACGCATATATGCGTCGGTGACAGCCAAACGGATAAGTTGATTGCTTTTTTTTCCGTACTAGTAGTGCTTCTTAATCGTATTGAATAAATTATATTGTTCAATATCCTGCCATTTATTCGATGCTGTTTTCTCTTATTGAATCTATTATCAGGAAATAACCTATTGACAAATCAACAAAAACAACAAAAAAAAGTATTTGTTCATTTTCCTAAACTTTTATTCTAAAGAAAAAATAAAGAAGACAGGACTGGCAAAAGAAAAAGGAATAGTAATAATAATAATAATTGTCTTCTTAATCGAACATATATTCAATGATATTTCGCCCATTTATATTGTTCTAGAAAAAAAAAATAGTGTGCATATAATAAGGAATATTTTAAATAGCAATTTTATACTTCTATCAGGCATAGCAAAGAAAACAAAATTAATTAATGAAGCAACAACAAATATTTGTGTATACCAAATAAGATTTGGCTTTTTATTATCCAAAAAAGCACGATAAAATTTCCAAAAAGCTAAAAAAATTTTATTTGAATTTCTTTCATTTAATTTCATCATAATAAAACTTACTTCGAATACCACCCTGATATATTCCCATTGGAGTTTTATCTCGTCGAGCAATCCATGCTGGAATATCAACTAATTTAACATCACCAAAGTGAAGATCACCTTAAAAATAAAAACAAATAGGAAAAAACTATATATAATTTTTGTTTTTTGAGAAACAAACGTTTTCCATAATAACGCCATGGACAATAAGGTCCATGTACACGTGGATTAAAATCTCGTGGATATTCATTAAATACTTTAAGATATTTAGCCAAATTCAAATATTGTAATGGATCCCATCGAGCTGTTATACGATCTGGATTACCCGGAATAATTGTTTCATTTGTTTTACTGTACCAACTATCATTCATGTTGAACAGTTCGTTTTAAAGAAGTAAAAAACAAAATGTTTTACTGCAAAATCCATCGTCGCCATTATTTTGGTTGTGTATGCATGCTTCTTTTTTCACTACCAATCAGAAGATAAAAGCGCTATGTTCTATGTATAAATAATAATAAACAAACGAAAATATTAACCTCTAAAAAACAAACTACCCTGTCAAAAGAAAGGAAAACTTTGTTGTTATCATTTACAATCGTACAGATAACATGATATACCCATGTGAGTTTATTTAAGCTTGTGAAATGTGACATTGTTGAATATTAGTTCATGTAAGTTAAGTTTTATTTATTACATTATCTCGTGATTTCCAATTTATCAAGTCGCTTTAGAATTCGTTTTAGTAAATTCTATTACTCATATTTAGATTTGAGAAAAGAATAGATTTATCTTGATGATGTTTCATCTGAATGATTTTAATAATAAAGAAAACGTTTGGAATGACAAAAAAATTGGAATAAAAGAGCCAAAAAAAAAGCACGTCTGTCAACAATAAATGCACAACACATAGGAAAATATACACACACATAGGCGCACAGTGTTGAGCACATCAATAAACAACAACAACAAATAAATTCTTTTTTGTTTAAAAGCATTTTCTGTGAACAATTGATGGACCTGATTCATCATATTCTTGTTTCGAAATCCACATTTGTTGAAATGTTGATAATGATGCTAAAATTGAACCACCAATCCATACAGAATATTTTCGTTCAGGTGGTGCTATAATTTTTATTTTCATTGTTGATGGTGCCAATGATGTTATTTCTTTTTGCATACGATCAGCAATACCTGGATACATTGTTGTACCTGTGTAATAATATTAATAATTAATAAGTAAATTGATAATTTAAAATTATCTTACCTCCAGAAAGAACAGTATTAGCATATAAATCTTTACGAATATCAATATCGCATTTCATAATCGAATTATATGTTGTTTCATGAATACCTATTATGAATAGACGAATCATGATGAAATGTATTAAAAAAAACAAGAATTATTATTTTAACTAACCAGCTGTTTCCATGCCAAGAAAGCTTGGTTGAAATACAGCTTCTGGACAACGAAATCGTTCATTACCAATAGTAATGACTTGTCCATCGGGTAATTCATAACTCTTTTCTAATGATGATGATGATGCAGCTGTAGCCATTTCTTGTTCAAAATCAAGTGCAACATAACATAATTTTTCTTTTATATCTCGAACAATTTCACGTTCAGCTGTTGTTACAAATGAATAACCACGTTCAGTTAATATCTTCATTAAATAATCAGTTAAATCACGACCAGCTAAATCAAGACGAAGTATTGCATGTGGTAATGCATATCCTTCATATATTGGTACTGTATGTGTAACACCATCACCTGAATCAAGTACAATACCAGTTGTACGACCAGATGCATATAAAGAAAGTACAGCTTGAATAGCAACATACATTGCTAAATTTACAAAAAAATAACACACACACACAAAAGAAATTTAATAATTAAAATTTGATTTAATGGAATTTAATTTTGTTTACCTGGTGTATTAAATGTTTCAAACATAATTTGTGTCATTTTTTCACGATTTGCTTTTGGATTAAGTGGTGCTTCAGTAAGAAGTACAGGATGTTCTTCAGGTGCAACACGAAGTTCATTATAAAATGTATGATGCCAAATTTTTTCCATATCATCCCAATTAGTAACAATACCATGTTCAATAGGATATTTTAATGTAAGAATACCACGTTTTGATTGTGCTTCATCACCAACATAAGAATCTTTTTGTCCCATACCAACCATAACACCTTGATGACGTGGTCGACCAACAATAGATGGAAAAACAGCACGTGGAGCATCATCACCAGCAAATCCAGCTTTACACATACCACTACCATTATCAATAACAAGTGCTGCTACATCATCGTCACACATGTTTGCTGTTTATTATTAGAAATAAGAATGTTGTTGAATGAAAATTGTGTGTAATGTGTAAAATTGCTAGAAAAGTTGTTGTCTGAAGTGAAGATAGCTTGCTGTTTTGTTTCGACTTATATACCAAGCACGGACGAATCTAGTGTTCCTTCTCTCTCTCTCTTCTTATTCATCGTCGGCTTGAAATTCTATTTGTATTGCCATATAAGGACATTCGAGGCGAACGTTCGAACCAATGAAGAAAACGCAACGGATTGAAGAACGCAAACGAGGATGAAGAGTGTGCATACACATACGAAGACAAAGAGTGTGAGCTAGTCTTTAGTCATGTTCGATAGTAAAAGACGTGCTTGCTTACGGTAGAACGACGACAAAGATGGCCATTGTATAGAAAGATTACCCATCACATCATCATCAACAATAACACGAAAATAAAATAGATAACATGTAAATGAATAAATATTATGAAAAACAAAACATTATCATCTATATTCTTGTTTAATTGAAAAAGAAAATTCTCGAAGAAATTTTAATGCCGGTTTAAACAGAATGTATTTGTTTTTTCAGATTAAACTTCATTAAATAAAAATACAGATAAAGAAATGGGTATTCTTGAAAAAATTGCCGATATTGAAAAAGAGATAGCAAGAACACAAAAAAATAAGGGTACAAATATGACAACCTATATAATTTAATACATAAAAAAAGATATGTTACTTTCTAGCAACTGAATACCATTTGGGTTTATTGAAAGCAAAATTAGCAAAATTTCGTCAAGCATTACTAGAAGGTGATGCTAAGAGTGGTTCTGGCAAGGTTTGATATAATCAATAATCTTAAAGAAATGATTTCTTTATTTTATTCTATGAATAATTCTATAGGGTGAAGGTTTTGATGTTGTCAAATCCGGTGATGCACGAATAGCTTTAATTGGTTTTCCATCAGTCGGAAAAAGTACATTATTAAGCACAGTCACACGTACGGAATCAACCGCTGCTTCATATGAATTTACAACATTAACGTGTATTCCGGGTGTAATACAAGTCAGTATTTCATAAAGAAAAAAAGAAAACACTAATGTGATTATATTATTTATTTGATTTTTATATTTTTAGTATAATGGGGCTGAGGTATGTGTAATAGAATATCGAATCATTTCGAGAACTTCTTAAAATTCAACTATAGATTCAATTACTCGATTTACCTGGTATCATTGAAGGCGCCGCTCAAGGTTTGTGTTCAAAATTCTTTTTCGGAAAGGTAATATACGTGTTTAAATAATAGGCAAAGGTCGAGGACGTCAAGTTATTGCTGTAGCTCGTACTGCTGACATGGTTTTGATGATGTTAGATGCAACCAAAGGTGAAAAGCAAAGGTAAAACTATTTCTTATTCTTCAACTTTAACATTAATATAAACAACTACACAAATAAAGATATTTACTATACGGAAAAAAAAGATAATATGATCAGTAAACATGCTTGTCATTCATGATATTTAGCTTATTTATTTCTAATAAAAAAAAAAAAATTCTTTTTTTTTTATTTAATAGAGAAATTCTTGAAGATGAACTTGAAAGTGTTGGTATTCGATTAAATAGACGTAAACCAGAGATATATTTTAAGGTATTAATGTAAGTCAAAAAATTGATATGAATCTATATTTAATTATAATAAACATAGCCAAAAAAAACTGGTGGTATTAATATAACAAGTACAGTACCAATGACAAAATGTTCAGAAAAAATGATTCAATTAATACTTCATGAATATAAAATGTTTAATGCACAAGTTCTTTTTCGTGATGATTATACAAGTGATGAATTTATTGATGTTGTTGTTGGTCGACGTGTTTATATGCCATGTCTTTATGTAAAGAAAAAATAATAATTTGTAATTATGTATAGATTTATTTATTTATTTATAGGTTTATAATAAAATTGATCAAGTATCAATTGAAGAAGTTGATCGACTTGCTCATTTACCAAATTCAGTTGTTATTAGGTTTGTAAAAACAAAAAAATCATAGTTGTTTATTTATATGATTTATTTAAGTTGTAATATGAAATTAAATATTGATTATATGCTTGAAAGTATATGGAAATTATTAAATTTAATACGTGTTTATACAAAAAAACGTGGTGAAAAACCTGATTTTGAAGGAGGATTAATTATTAGAAATGCAACAACTGTTGAACATGTCGTAAGTTTAATAAACATTTTTTTCATTTTTAAAGTTTTCTATGTATTTGATTTAGTGTCGTATTGTTCATCGAACATTGGTTGATCAATTTAAATATGCACTTGTTTGGGTAAAAAAGAAAACATTTCATTTTGTTCCTTATGGATATTGTTTCTATCTCTCGGGTTTTAATGTTATTTAAACTACAGATTCTAATTTCCTTAGAGTAATAGGAATTCTTTATTTATGATTAGAAAACGTATTAAATAATTTAAAATAATGATTTGTTTTTTTTTTTGGAATTTCCTTTTTAGGGTACTTCAGTGAAATTCTCGCCACAACGCGTTGGTCTTTCACATGTTTTACAGAATGAAGATGTCATTTGTTTAGTGAAGAAATAAATTAACTAAAAAAAAAAAAAAAAAATTGTTGTTTTTTTTTTGTTTTTCAACAAAATAACATTATTAAAAAAAAAGACACGAATTCTTTTTGTTCAACTTCTTATGCATGTTTTCAGATGACTGATGATGAAAATGAACCATTATTGGATGATGATAATCGTCATGTATGCAATTTAAAGCAATTTCCTTTTACACATATGTTAAAGCATTCTTTTTTTTTGTAGCATACGTACACTTCTCTTCATTCTTATATAACAACAAATGATTCTCATCCACGCACCTCTTCAAGTACAACTTTTGCTACCGGTGAAAAACTATTATCTGGTCATTATGAATCACTTGATTATGAATGTGATGAAAGTGAAATCGCTCATATGGAAGAAAAACGCTTAGGTTATCAACATGCACGTCGTTTAATTATATTAAAATGGTTAATTATGTTATTAATTGGTATATGTACAGGATTAATAGCTGTATTTGTTGATTTTGCAGTAAAAAATTTAACAAAATTTAAATTTAGTTATGTACAAAATAAACTAGATACATGTTTATCTGAACATTGTTTATTTAAACCATATTTAACATGGATTAGTATAAATATAAGTATGGTTCTAGTTGCAGGTTTTCTTATTCTTTGGGAGGTAATTATTTTAAATAAAATCAATCAATCAAATTTTTGAATATTTTTATTATTAAATAGCCAGTTGCACGTGGTTCAGGTATTCCGCAAGTAAAATGTTATCTTAATGGTATAGCAATTCCACATGTACTTCGTTTGAAAGCATTGATTGCTAAAGTCTTAGGTGTTATATTTGCTGTATCTGGTGGATTAGCTGTTGGAAAAGAAGGACCTATGTGAGAAATAGTAATAAATTCTTGAGTATCGGTAAAATATGCTCTGACCCACTTGAAGCGTCGTTTTACTTTTGACATATGTCAGCCCACAAAGCTTGAAATTTTGAGTCTATTGAACCTTACACAAAAACAAATATTTGAAAAATACAGTTCGATATAACTGTGCTATGCATTTTGAACTGATTCGAACTATCAGATAGTTAGCATAACTTCATTTAACATAATTTTTCTGAACATCTGTTTGAGCTGTTGACTTCGGATGGAATACAACAGACTTAAAAGCTCAAGTTTTTTTGACTTTTGTAAGTCTTAAATAGAACGGTACTCAGCGTATATTTTACTCATACTCTGAATCGTTTGAGAAAATATTTTCTCAAGATTATATATATTTTTTTGTTAATTGTAGGATACATTCCGGTGCAATTATTGCTGGTGGAATTTCACAAGGAAAAAGTAGTTCCTTAAACATTGATTTTCATGTAAATAAGATATTAAAGAAAATAATAATAGAAACAAGAGAAAATTTTAAATTTTATTTTTTAATTAGATTTTGAAACATTTTCGTACTGATAAACATAAACGAGATTTTGTATCGGCTGGTGCTGCAGCTGGTGTTGCTGCAGGTAAAATTATATTTTAAATTAAATAATTATATAAAAGATTTTGTTTAGCTTTTGGTGCACCTGTTGGTGGTGTTTTATTTGCTTTAGAAGAAGGTGCAAGTTTTTTTAATCAACAATTGACATGGTTTATTGTATGTTAGGATTAAATCGAAAATAAATCATTGTTTTTTATTTGGTTTCTATATTTAGTTTTTTGCATCAATGGCATCAACATTTACTTTAAACTTTGTTATGAGTGCAATTGAGGGTCATTTTGGTGATTTATCATCACCAGGTTTAATCAATTTTGGACTTTTTAAAGTATTTAAAACAAAAATCTATTTTTCAATAAATAGTAATGAATATGTTCTTTTTCTTTTAGGATACTCCATATATGTGGTTTGAATTACCTTTATTTATTATAATAGGCTTTATTGGTGGTATATTTGGTGCTTTATTTAATCAATTAAATTTACGTTTAACTAAATTTCGACATCATTATATAAATAAACCTTGGTTATCAGTTATTGAATTGATACTTGTTGCAGCAACAACTGTTGTTATAGCTTTTCTATTAATTATTGGAACAATGAATGAATGTCGACCGATAAAAACACAATTAGAACTTAATTCACCTACAATACAATTATATTGTCCTGATGGACAATATAATATCATGGCAACACTTGTTTTTAGTACACCTGAACAAGCTGTACGAAATTTATTTCATAATGAAATAGGTAAAAATTCAAAACGAAAACAAAAAAATGAATAAAAATGAATTTTATTTAGGAACATATAATCCATGGAGTTTATTAGTTTTTTGTATTATTTATTTTTGTTTAACTTGTTGGACATATGGAGTCATTGTTAGTTCAGGTCTTTTTATTCCAACTCTTTTAATTGGTGCTTCATGGGGTCGATTAGTAGGAATTATCATGCATACAATATTTCCATCAAGTGTTAAAGTTAGTTTTTAACTTTTTCTTTTTTTGTTACTTACTTTCTAATATCTTTTTTTTTAAATAGTATTTTGATTCAGGCAAATATGCTCTATTTGGAGCTGCATCACAACTTGGTACATCTTATTTTTATTAAATAAAACAATTTTTGTTTTTTGGTATTTCCTATTCAGGTGGTACCATGCGTATGACAATAAGTCTTGCAGTCATTTTAATTGAAGCTACTGGTGATATTGTACTTGGTCTACCAATTATGATTGTATTAACAGTAGCTAAACTTACTGGTGATTATTTTAATGAAGTAAGAATATTTGATATTTAAGTTATTTTATAAAAATTAATTTATTTATTAAAGGGAATTTTTGATATACATATTGCTTTACAAAGTTAGTTTACAAATAATTTTTGAGAAAATGTGTTTTTTTTTTTATTTTCTAATTATTATATATTAGGTGTACCATTTCTACCATGGCAATCTGAAGTATTTACATCACAACTTTCAGCTTTGTGAGTGAAAAAAAAAAAAATTTTTTCTCTTTTTATTTATTCATATCTGATTTTATCTTAAATAGAAGTATTATGTCAACACCAGTGATTCAACTAAAAACTATTGAAAAAGTTGAAAATGTTTATCGTATTTTACGTAATGAAAGTCATCATGGTTTTTCAGTTGTTGATCATCATACAGATGAAGTTTGAATACTCTTTTGTTTTTTAATATTAAAGTTGTTCAAAAAAATATGTTTATTTTTTAGACAAATAATCATCGATCTGGTACATTTCAAGGCATTATTTTACGTCATCAACTTATAACAATTTTAAGAAAACGAGTTCGTTTATGAAATAAATTATTATTATTTTAATTTGACATTTTCTTTTAGAATTTTATTTCATTAAATGATTGTCTTCGGGATTATTTAACAATGGATGATTTTCGTGAAAGTTATCCACGTCATCCATCAATTGAAGTAAATATTAAAAAAAAACTATTAGCGCACAATCCTTGCGAAGTTTAAATGTGAAACACAATGTTGTTAATTACAGGGAAATTGCTTTATTCTATTTATTTTCGGACACTTTTCTTCATCCTCATTTTACTTAATTTTTCAGAAATGTAATACTGAATTTAACTAAATATTATAACGAGACATTTCATATACAGTAATGGAGCGTATATCAATAATGTTTATCACAGTCTGTGAGAGAGCAGGAGGAGAATATAGTAGGCATTTTTGAAATAGATCAGGCGAATGTGAGTTTCTTTTTTTTTTTTTTACTTAGACCGACCTATTTTTTGTGCTAAATATAGCTTCCTCATCTGTCGAATGTCAATATAATCTGTAAAAGTCACATCCGATAAAAAGAATATCTTTTACTGAAAAATCACTGTGAAAGACTTTTACTCTGGATATATGTGAGAAAAAAAAAATTTTTTTCAAGAAGACGAATCGATTATAAATCACTCGATATAGATTCCAAATATAAAATTAGCATTTTAATAAGTGTTTTTATGTCGAGAAGAATAATATTTACTTTGAAAACCTATAGCTTAGTTGTGGAACGCTTATCGGTGTTATGAATAAATGACTTTTCTCGAATCTCAAACATATAAAATCGAAAGTCGTTTTTTAAGAATCGATAGAGTAAAAAAAAACATATATGTAATTTTCTTAGAACTATTTTCTTTATTGTGTTTTTAATCTATAATAAAAAGAAAGGTTCCTAATCTTTACTAGCAGCAGTTTTCAACGAGATTTACCGACGAATGTTAACAAAAGAAACCAAGAATTTTATGTCATGAAATAATACATAGTTCAGAGTACGTATAGCCATAATGAAATCATTAGAAAGTACATTTTCAATTTTCACCCTAATACTTCAACTCTTCTTCTAAATCGTGTTTCACAAAAAATTAAACTTAGAATTAAAAAATTTGCTTTTTGTTTTTAGAGTATTCATTTAACGGATGAAGAACGAGAACTTTATTGTGATTTAAGACCGTACATGAATTTAGCTTATACTGTTTCACACGTAAATATAAGATTTTAAAATTGAATTTCTTTAATTTAATCAATTGGCTTTGAATGTTTTTTTTTTCTGATTGTAGCGTTCAACACTTCCACGTATATTTTCGATGTTTCGAGGTCTTGGTTTACGTCATTTAGTTGTTGTTAATGATAAAAATGAAGTTGTTGGAATGATAACGCGAAAAGATTTAGCTCGATTTCGTATGAAACATAAAAAAGGTCATACATCAATCGAAGAACTTGCTATATCACATTAATTTGTGTTTCTTGCAATACGCTCATACTGTCTGTCTTCACTTTTTTTTTTTAATAAGAAACGAATGCTAAATATATGTTATTTAAGTTTTTCTTCCCTTTTGTTATCATGTTCATATCGTCACGATAAATCAAGAAAAAAATTTGTTTTTTGTTTTTTTTTTTTGTAATGTGTTTAATCATCTATTTTTTGTGTTTTTTGCATGGCAATATTTAAAAATTCAGATACAATAAACTGGTGGCATTTTTGTATACATTTCACATGAAAAAAATCAATAATAGAATTGTTAGTTTCAGTTATTATAGGTTTAATCTAAAATGAAATATTATTAGTTTTATTGATATAAAAATGAAAAATTCGGTATCTTTTAGTTTTAAAATACTAAACGAAATACACATATCTTCGATAAAAAGATATACATTGTAAAAATTTGTTTTTTCCAGTTTCACAAAACAAAAAATATTCAATCATTTATGCAAATAGTTGAATAATGCTTTACTCTAACCATTATGAGAATATACAGGATGTCCGAAAAGTCCTTTGTAAAAATAAGACAATTTCGAATACTATAACTGTTAGTAAACGGCAAACGTTTTATAAAAAAAAGATATTCATCAAAACACGAGTATTTAACACTTTTCTTGATTCAACACGAATAAATTTTAAACTAGTCTTCTCTAAGTCGCGATCAAGATTGAAACCGGAACTGAAAAACTATGCTCCGGCATTTTTCTATTTATAATGCATTTAAGTTATGATTGAAAAAATATCTTCTGAAGTTTTCTTTAAGGAATTATTAACCTTAACTTTTATTATTTATTCGTGATTAATTCATTTTAGACTTAAATCATTTCTATTTCTAAGCTAATAGACATTGTAAAAATTATTCAAAATTAATAATTTTTGATACAACTATCAAGAAGACTCTACTCAACAGTTTTTTTTTAAAACATATAAAATTTAGTAAAAATTTCTAATTTTGTCTTTTTATTAAAACGATTCTATTTATGTCAGAAGATGTAATATGATCAAAACCAGATGAAGAACCAAATTAAATAATTTCAACATGCTTTTATGTAAAACATATCGTGTATTGTTGATATCAATCCATTAAAAAAGAAATCATATAGATTTTATACTCATGATATCAATTGATTCATATACAAATATGTGGGAATATAGGGGAATTTATTGTTTTGACTGAGAATTATATGTTCCACTTGGTAATCTTATTGATTTAACACAACTAGATGAAGTTATCGAAATATATGTTCGAGATATAAATGGATGTGAAGAAATTCTTCATCATACAATCCCAATTATTTAATCAGATCAATCATTTACGTCACTTAATGTTCATTTGATCTATCAAAACCATCAATGTTCAAAAACATATCAATATATTTTTTGTTAATATAAGAATTTTACTTGGACTTAGACAACAATTTGAATTTGATCGAATAAAAAGTAAATATGAGTTATTACTATGAATTGTAAATGTGAACATAAGAATCTAGATATTTGAGCAGGTGGAAAATTGTTTGTATCATTTTGAGAAAAGAAAAAGAATGAAAAAAAAACGTCTGGATTTTTAATATGATAAATAATATATTGTATTATAACATACGAGAAGAAAAATTAAAAAAGATAAATTTTTCCACCTATTACTATCAAAACGACTGCGGATGAAAGTTCTGCACTGAGCCGATTGTTTTTGAATCAAAACTACCTGCACTATATAGATCCTAATCAATTGTGCATGTACCAAAAAAAAGTGTTGAAATTCTTAGCTTATTGCTGTGGAAATACTACATTTTTACAGTATTTTTAAGTTAATGTTGTGGTTCACTTTGAAAACGTTCGGAAGACTCATTTTCAAATTCCAACTTGAAACTTTGCATAGAGACAAACCTAAATGAAAATGGTTTTTTGTGAAAATATCACATCTTCTGAGTTGGTTCTAGACTAAAATAAAACCATCGAGTCTACCAGTATATATGAGCGACATAAAAAAACACATGCTTTTATCATTGTCATATCTTAGACAACTATTCTCGTTAATTCTTCTCTCGATGCAAATTTTTGAATCAAAATTCAAATATAAGTTTTCCTACTGTTCCCTCGAGTAGCAGTACGACATTGACTCCAAAATATCGTGCAAATATAGTATCTCCGTTACAATAAGCTAATTGCCCGAAATCTTTCAGCTAGCTTCGACTCAAAAGTTATCCATCAATTCGCAGACTTATAGATATGTAACATCATTTAAACTAAAGAAGTTTTCAAAATTTGAATGACATTTATAAAAATACAATTTATTATCAACGAGTACTAATCTTGGAAGTTTTTCTAAATATAATTATCATCTTATATATAACATATTTACTTTGACCTTCGTTATGAAATATATTTGCCTTTGATAGTCTCGCGTGACACATTCTAACTTATATTTTCATTTTTTTTTGCGTGCACTATACATTCCCAGATGCTCGGTTTTTGTTTCAACAATAGTTAATCATCATGATTGGATAAAAATGTGTGACAATCAAATTTTCAAGTTGTACTTCAGACTTGTTTTCTCTCAAGTAATACTACTATTCTTTTAAAAGGTTTTATCTTTCATTAAATGATTTTCATTCAACATTGCTTCGAGCACTTTTAAATGACTTCTTCAATTATAGAGTCTATTTTAATATTAAATGACAAAAATCAAACAATAAATGTATATAATAGTGTCAATAATTTGCTATAATTAAACATACTTTTTAAGTTCAATTGAGAAGAAAACAAATTTTGAAAAATTTTTGAACATAATATGGTAGTAAAAATCAATCTATTAGATTTTGTGTGCTTAATATCTTGAGATTTCTTTAAGGTAAATTCTTGATATATATATATATTTTCTTTTTTTTGTGTAATATGAGGAACTAAATAGGGTAGTGCCACTTATAAAAATAAAACATAAAGCTACAATAAATATGAAATGCAATATATACAGAGAAAAGTATGAAATTTTAGAATGTTTACGAAGCATTCAGAACAAAATCTATTCAATACTTCTCTATTATGTTATAAGACTCAAAAAATATTTCATTACATTTCTTGAGAGATGATTAAAATTTTTTGAAGACTCCTCAGTTTTTTCTATTTCAATAAGAAGAATGCATTAAAAGCATTTAATGAGGAAAAATCGTAGATAGTTATAAAAGAAAAAAATTTATACATTTTTTTTTGTTTTACATTAATTACATTTTTATAGAGAAACTCAATTGAGACTAAAATCGGAATTCCTGTTTTTGCACTCAGCCAATGTTGAACATTAGTTCGCAATAATCGTTGCATTATCAGTAATAAAAACCTCAATAATAATATTGTTGTACAATCTTATATAGATATGTTCAAGAAAAAACAAACCATAAATAAATTAAAATACAAAATATTTTGGAAGGCTTTGATACTACAGAGTTTTCTCTGATTTCATATCGACATTCAATGCCGAACTTCATCAACAACTTTCTAACATATATGAACATCATAAAAATGAAGTGATATCCTTTTTTCTTTTTTACTCTTGTGATCATGTTGCAATATGTTCAATTTGTTCCTTTTTTTTGCGTATAGTTCAATATATTTAATCATAATGTGAACCAATCATAATTTAGCAGCACATACTCATCAAACATTGATGGCAGATGACTAAAGTTTATAACTTTTTTTTTCGTTTTCATTAGTTGAATATTCGAAAAAAAAAGAAAAGAAGAACGACACTTACCACAAAAAATGTTATTTACGTTCATCTTAGTAAATTCAATTATTATTCAATGTGTTCAATCATATTTTGATGATCTTCTTTTCGATATTCAACATCATAATCGTTTTAATCCTTACATGTATAGTCTTCCACCCATTTTTCACGTATGAATATATATTTATTTATTTTTTTCTTAGTAATTTTCTTTTTGTGGCTTCTTTTTTTCAAGGTTGATCGACATACTCAATATGGATATGTAAGAGGTACAAGTTATCATGTTGATTCACAAGATTCATTCTATCCAAAATATATTAGTGTTTTTCTTGGAATTCCATATGCTCGACCACCTGGTAAAAAAAATTAAAAAAGTTTTTTTTTTTCAATATTTATTTATATTGTTTTTCGTCTCTAGTTGGTCTCTATCGATTTAAAGTAACATTCTTTTCTTTTTTTATTATCAATGTACTTGTTAGTATATTTAATTAATTTTTTCTTGTTAAGCCTCCATTACCACCTGATCCTTGGGATACAAAATTTTTTCTTTATGATGCAACTTATTATCGACCATCATGTTTACAACCAGCAAGTGAACAAGAAAAAATTCGTCAATATATTCCAAATTTTCCTCCGTCAAATTTTAGTGAAGATTGTCTTTATTTAAATATATTTACACCAAATGTAAGTTCATTTTTATTTGTTCATTATATCAAAAAAATTTTGTTTTTTTGTTAATAGAGAACTGATCGTTATATGCCTAAATTACCTGTTATTGTGTTTTTACATGGAGGAGATTTTATTGGAGGAAGTTCACAAATTTATAATGGATTTGTTTTAGCTCAACGAAATGTTGTTGTTGTCACTTTTAACTATCGACTTGGTCCATTAGGTATAGATTGATTTAATGATTTAGAAAAAAAAAAAAAACAGAAATTCTCTACGAATTATTTATCTGAAGGTTTTTTGAGTACAAAAACATTAAATGGTCGTGGAAATTATGGTCTTTTTGATCAACGTATGGCATTAAAATTTGTCTATGATAATATACGAGAATTTAATGGTGATCCAGAAAATATAACTGTTATTGGTCATGAAGCTGGAGCAGCTAGTATTGGTTTACATTTATTATCTCAAAATACACCTTGTATGTTTAATAGATAAATTTGTTTTTTTGAAGAAATTTTTTTGTTTTTTGATTCAAGTTTATTTTCGTCGTGCTGTTATGATGAGTGGAAGTGATCTATGTAAATGGT